ACCATGCGCATGAGCAGTGGCGCTGTGGATGAGGTGCTTGTGGAGGCGGAATGCTTAGAGGATTTCGAGGATCGCGGCTTCAGTGGTTCTTCGCTGAGTTGCACGTTCAAGTATGAGAGGACGATGCCTCGCGCTGGCGGGTAGTAGGAGAGGAGGAGAGGGGAGAATATCGAGGCGCAGAGGGCCGGGAGTGGTGAGCTGAGGGCCAGAGGTGGGAGCGCGACATATTGTGCGATGCACTCGATGTGGAAGAGAGATTAGCCATTGTTAGTCGTGGAGGGGGTTTGTATGGGCGCCATCGTTGGTAGAGTTCAGTTCGAAGCTGAACTCGGGTGCGCAGTGTGTAGTGACGTGGATGGAGGCCCTTGGTCGTGATGTAGACGTTCACGGCTAGTGAACCTTTTGGCTGTCGAAAAGAAAGTTGTCAGCGATCGGAAGTCCGCAAATCATGTCTAGATCTCAGTAAGCCTGGTTAGGTTCAGCTTTTCAACACTGGTACTGGCCACTGGGTATAACCATACTACACTGCGCTTCCTGTTTCGTCTGTATTTGAAAGGTAAACTATAAAGCGTACCACTGCCGGTAAAAAGTCCAAGGCTGAAATACAAGACTGTCAAGTGCTAAAACCAAAGTGGCCCGCTGTAAGGAACGATCCAAAGAGGCTGAAGCCCTCCGCTTTTTGCCCGATTTCTGCCAAATAGACTGCGAAGGTGAACAGCTAGATAGGACTCAGTAGAACTCAGTGTTGCCAAATCATTTGATGGGTATATAGGCAGAGGATCTGAATCAGAAGGTATTTCACGGGGCTTGTGCAAGGGCTTGGGACCCATTGCCGCCATAGTCTGGCAGCCTCGAATTCAAGCTTTATCTACTCACAACCCCGCCATATTCCTAAATGGGGCGCAGGTTGTTTGATGCATACATTGAACGATTGTTCTTGGTACAGAAACGCTGCGAGAGGTTACCGTGTTTCGGGATCACCTGCCATTGCCTACGGTCTCGACAAGAAGACCTCCGGCGAGCGTAAGGTCTTGATCTTCGGCTTGGGCGATGGTACCTTTAATGTCTCTCTCCTTACCATTGAGAAGGATATCTTCGAGGTCAAGTAGTGAGTTGAGCGAGATAGTCGGCGGCCGCCGACTATCTCGCTTGACCGACTGGCCCGTGCGCTGACCAGGGTCGTTGCTTCCCTGACACACGTACCTGATCGTCTGCTGTCAGGCTTCATCAATGTCTACCCATCTGTTGCATCGTAGCACCACAATCGAATAGAAATCCGCTCCATCAGCAAGGATGGCGGACGCTATAGCGCGTAAAGGTCACACAACTGCTCCGGCAGGTGACGAAACTTGCCCGCAGGCAGTGTCCATATCCACGATGTTAGCTATGATCAAGGTATGTCGATGCTGCAAGGAAGCATGGAATCTTCTGACTCCCCAGATAGAAAATACGAGAAGTCGAAGCGTTCATTTCCACCCTGGACGGCCAACCCTCCCATCGCGCAGCTGTAAACGTATACTACAAGTCCGCCCTCCACCTGACGGGCAAACGAAAAGCTGCACTCTCTCCCGACGATCGGAACTACATGGCAGCGTTACTACATCAGTCAGCATCAAGGGTGCCTGCGGAAAGCACCATCGTTGCACCCTCTCCATCCGGCCAGCATGACCATGGCAGAGCTTCTGGAGGCGATGCTCCCTTAGGGCATTCAGATACTACTTCGTTTGCACCTAC